TGGGGTACTTAGCTCCAACTAACAATTGCCCTTTTCCGTTAAAGTCAGTTTTTAAGAAATGAAATGAATTTAAGGTAAGATATTCCAAGGGATTGAATATCCCTGTCGATAGGGCATCAAATTTCTTGAGAGTTTAAAGGTAACTTTTCAAACTTTATCCGGCAGTAAGAGGATCAACCTGAGACAGCCCAAATCCAACACCATTCCTCCGCTGATGTTAAGAAATCCCTTGAAAGAAAAAACACAAGACGAAAGCAAACAAAAATACGGCTAAAAAATACTTATTGGCGAACCGATAAGAAGTACTTAACCAGCAATGGCCATAGTATTTCAATGATATGAATATAGGTTTTATCTTGACTTCTTAAAAATAAATATACAAACGAAAAGATAAAACAGTTGCAAAATAGAGTTAAAAAGAATGTACAATTATGATCATTACCTTTTCTTTATGTAAATCCTCTCACTCAACTGACAAATTGTGAAAAATAATTTTTCCTCAGCATGACCATGTGCCCTCATCATGGAAGAGAACATATGCCACCAGTTAATTTCCTTTGTTTTGTATACATTTCTTTTTGTTGTTAAAGAAACATTATTATTATTATTATTATTATTATTATTATTATAACACAACATAACCTACGCAACTGCCCTGCAATAGCTAAGAAAGGGCTTTGGTGTCTAGGGAAAGCATTCCTAAGCAATACAGAAGACCTAGAGAGCTCCTGAGAAGAATTTTATTCTTTATCAAAGGATCAAATTTTTTTCAGGAAATCTATAGCAGAGATCAATCTAGATGAAAGTTTGGGTGGAAAATGGGAAAATCCCTTCGACTCCAAATAATTGGAGGAAAACTACTACATTGCCCATTGAGTCTTCAGTCCTTTTTAAAAAGATAGTTCCTTCTCACAGTAAGTTGTTTTCAACGATCCGTATTTCGAGCTTTTGGCTGATCATCAGGTTGTAGAACTCCTTCAACCTGATGATGAGCTAAAAGCTCGAAATCCGGATCGTTGAAAACAACTTACTGAAAGTAGGAACTATCTTTTTAAAAAGGATTGAACATCGCACTCATTCCACCATTCATCATTTCTATTGAGTCTCCAGTTCCTCATGAAGGAACTATTTCCAGTTCTGAACCACTTCCATCTTCTTCTGTTTTATTGTGTTGTATGCATACTGTTGTGTGCTTCTTCACTCTCATTTATACTAAGAAGTCCAATCACGGTACTAATTCCTGTTTCATGTAGAATCTAGGCCCTGTCAACAGACATCCACTTCCACATTTACGTCGACCCCTGCAAGTCCCCTAGTCCCTAGTCCTGGGACCCCTAGGATAAATATTCATGACAGACGTTTGTTCATTTTTTACAATCGCTTCAGATCTCTCATTTTTATTGACATGGCCTTGAAAGATATTGGTATAACGCTATAGACTCTTACTAATCGATTTTATCTACACCAAAGATTGTACCTGATGGTTTTTCAATGTAGAGTTACTCCACCCAATGTTGCATTGCAGTTCCTAGGAAAATTTATTAAGTAACAGGTACGTTTGATAACGGAGTAATATTCAAGTGCTAACTGACAGAAATTTGATGGTTAACAACTAAAAACACGCGGATAGCATTATGCATTTATTTAATTCAAATCCAAGGGCAAACTATCTAATAACCTGTTTTTCGACGGTTGGATAAAATCGAAAAAGGCCTTCAGACCACGATTATATTTTTCAATCTGGGTTTAAGGCCCTTCTGGGAACAGGCGGAGAATCAGTAAGGAGATGAAACGGCCTTATTTATCCTGGAGGGCCAAAGGGTTTTTCGGATATCTAATCAACCGGTATCGTTTCGACGATCCGTCCGGAAAAAAGTAAAAGTCGTGCTGCATTGCTAAAAATCGGATTGAACGCCAGGTGAATGTATGAAGGAGCGTAACACAGGTTAAATGCAATAAAGGACTTCTTTGTAATAACTAGCACTACTTCAAATCCGGTTACGAAAGATGACTACATTTATTTACACGTGGAAAATAGAGAAAATGAGTGAAGGTATATATCAGGTTGCCTACGTTATTGAGAAACCAACGGCCTTTTCAACTCCTTCATACACCAACCCCATCAGTGGTGGACACCAACCCTACTACTATTGCATTGAAGGTAATACTTCTTCCTACATATTTACTAATGTTCAAATTCAACTTATCTTATCACTTTTATGTAGCTCTTAATTCCTATTCATCTTTCATTCCTCTTCACCACCTTAAGGAAGTCTACTGGTACAATGCTGATCTTCCCCTTCACCGAAATACCAAAACCATTTTATTCTCTCATGGCATGGCTATCCTCTTCCAACTCAGATCCTGTCAAAACCTTTCGCTCTTTTCCCCAACACCTACACAGCCCGAATACACGGCTTCGTGCGAAGAGAATCAGCTAATGAAAACAAACTCGGCCAAGTCATCACCTTTAGTCCGCCTTTATAATACAATACGACAAACGAAGTTCATTAGTTAATACAACAGTACGAGGAGTTTTTATACATAAATTATCGTACAGTAGACAACGTTTCTAAACTAATTAAAAGAACAGAACAAAACTTTACACAGCACACTGCACCTATATGGACCCAAGAACAAACCTAAACGACCCCTATGTCCATGAACCATGACAAAGACGATACGCTAAATCCCATGTAAAATTTCTCAGCCTAATCCATTAATAAATATCTCCCGTATCTTACAAAGCCTAAAACCCAGAGAGATACCAGAACTGCCAGTGGTTAGTTTTATTTTATACAATATACAGATAAATTAGGGAACAAAGTACAATACGACATGGATAACAATCCGTCTGTCGGTAGTTAACTAAAATGAGAGATAAAATGAAAACAAATCAAAAGAAAATTACCACTAAATACTGCCTACTAGTATTCATTTTATATTGATACATACAATTATATATTTACTTTTTTTTGGGGGGGGATTCCTTAAAAAGCTCTCACCAATTGGATTGCTGAATCAGGCATCGTGAGCGTAGTATGGAAGGACTTTACAGTTCCTTCGTTTAATGTCTGGACAAATACAAGTCGGGCAAGGCTAAAATCCGTAAAAAAATATTGCCCAATTTGCTAAGTTATGTGATGTAAATGTAATCGTTATTAAAGATGTGGATAGGGGCGTCGGGTTCCGGGTTCGAATCCAGCGGCCCTGCATTCGAACCCGACATACTTACAAATGGGCTTTTTCAAAAACACCGGCACGATATAACCTCTGCTGTTGCGAATCTCCGTTATAAAAAATAATAAAAAAAATAAAAAAAATTGTAATGCATTGTACTTGGTACCGATTCATCTCCTGGGGGGGGGGTTCATATCTTCCTGGGATCAATACTACTTAGCTAACGATATCTCAGGGATTATCCAAATTTTTACCTGGCTCATTAACTAACGAAAGCTCAGCTAAGTGGAAATTTATTTTTAAAAAAACTATGTACACTTTCACTTTGCAGGTATCGGTTGACACTCGATACTAGTATTTTTATACGCAATTCATTTCTTTGGATCGTTTTACATATTCGATTATTAACGACCTTTGAATTCTTTTATATCCTTTTTTTATAGAATCGAGTATCAATACGAAATCCCTGCTGTTGCTGCTGCTACTACTGTAGGCCATTACCTTATTGATCTTTCGAATATATTTGCATTTACACTTGAAATTGTTAAATAATACAACCATGTACTTTTTATTCAGCTAAAAAGTGTTATAATAGAAACTTGAAACATCGCCTATTCTTTAAACATTAGTATACTTCAATCCACCTGCTCGGAAATTTATATATCAGAAAGGAGGATATAACTTTTTCAGTTTTCCCCTGAATGTTCGACCGCTTTCTAAAAACTCTCACGGCTTTTGCGACGTCCAATTTAATATGCAAGACGTTTACTTCCTGCTTCTTAGACATTAAGTGTATAAAAGCAAAACTTTTTTCAATATCAAGTAGGCACTATTTATATTTGAGGGTGTCAAACTAAAGTACTATGCTACACTAAGTATTTTCGTTCGTCCAACGGATTTCTGATCAATTAAGTTTTGTGAAACGATTAACGTGAATTCTATGATGTTAGGGATTATAAATCCGCTTACCGAACGAAAAATTTGTAGTACTATAGATATGAGAGGTCAAATATTTTGGAAGATTTAGTACGGGTATCTTGTTTCCATTCATAATATTTTGGGATACATTTAGACTTAAAATCATAGTAGGTACATCAATCAAATTTGGAACTGTGTTCATATATAATATCAGCCCTTAAAAAAGCGTTACAATAACCAAAAATATCCGCTTAATACAGATAGTGTTGTAAACTTGTATGTATTATACATTAATCCATTTGTTTAGTGGTCTAATTGACCATATTAATTATTCTTTTTATGTAAGATCTTGGTTGAGATGAAAAAGTTAGTGTCACGAGCGGGATTCGAACCCATCCAGCCGAAGGTCGTGGGTTCGAATCCCGCTCGTGACACTAACTTTTTCATCTCAACCAAGACTTACATACAAAGACTAATTACTTGTAAATATTGCTGAACTATGATGATTTGTGACACTATTTTCGTGGCTTTATTACATCAGATTTAAATTTTGTCAAATATTACAACTTTCCTGTGCATTAAGTTTTAGTTCATTGAACTTTCATTTTTCTGTGATTAGAAAACATTGTTTCTTGGGTATCTGATATAGAAATGTATGATTTTTTAATGAAATTATCAAGTTTGTTGTATGTTAAACAGTGATACAGAATAACATTAATTTTTCATATAATTTAAATCGCTTGATTCCATGCACACAAAAACATGGTTGCAAAACATAACAACCTAAAAAGGGTCAATATTACTAAATGAAGAAGAAACATCAACAAGATACATTTGTACAACCACCAAGTCAAAAAATAATTATTCGTCCGAATCTTTGGAAAATATGAAATTGTGCTCACCTGTTGAATCCACAATCTGAGGATGTTGGCTTTGTGAGGATCGGGCGGAGGCGGGAGGACGGGATGCGCCTGAAGAGCACTGACGAGACGCTCCGCCGCCAGCTCAACACCTCCGGATGTCCGTTCCACCCCTTCCAGTCCCACTCCTGAGACAAAAAAAAAATAGTTTAACATTTATAAAATGTATAAACAAAAAGAAGTTTTGTTTTGTATTTTAAAACACATGAATCACCGTGGCAGATTGAGAAGACAGTAGGGAAGTGAACAACATCGCGAAGTATAACATTTGAAGAGAAATTTTTTAAATTTTAAGTAAAAACATATAGGTTTGAATACAACTATACAGTTATCATAATAAACTTGGAAAGAAATTAATATGCATCGCCTAAAAGAAAGAAACAAAATCTTCAACCACTACACTCATGAGCAATCCAAATCTATTCGACCACTGCTGACAAGTTATCCCGGACCAATCTTGGTTCATTTGAATAAGCCGGATCGCCAAATTTAACTCTCTTAACATTGAATCGACGTTGAGGTCACAAGAGTTCCACGATGTGGAGAAAGTTTTATTGCCCATTGTAAGCAAGTTGTTCCTTCTAATTTCTCTTTAACTTAATAACTATAACATACATTTAAGAATGTTTTCTCCAATACTCTAGGCAATAGGACTAGCTCGCACTGAATTTTAGCCGTGACAAGAGAGCCATTTTATGTGTTTGGAGTGCTGGAGGTTGATGCCTTTCGGTAAAGACTACGAGGATCACAACCCAGTTTTAAGAAAGACAGATTTGTGTTTGGTAATCCTATTTGCTTCTTTGCGGTATGCCTCTCCATGGCAAGGTCTGCCGATCCTGCAGAAAGGCGCTTTTTCTGCATATCCGTCATGGTTTTTTACATGGCCCTGTTCATATGCCAGCAGTTTGATTCTCCCGAGTGGGTAAACCTTTCATTGTTCTGATTTGATGGATCATGAGCGTATTGCTTGTTTATCAAGCTTATCCGTGATTTTGGTACTATTCTTAGTCACTTGGCACAAAAGTCAGAAGGACGTTAATATATCTATTATCAAAACGTGTAGCTTTCCCTGTCTATCCGATTTGACAGTATTTCTGATGATTATAATTGATTAATGTCACGTATACCCCTAAAAGTGCACTTGAAGGGTGAACTCAATTCAAATTTAACAATTACAAAAACTAAGGCAACGTCACAGTTGATAAACAAAAACGCCATCAGAGTAACGAAAACACAGATTGTCAACTCGAAGATGGTGCTGGAATGCATACGAAAAGCTGACATCAACAGTAATAAGAAACGCACCGCTGAAAATGTGCGAAACGTAAAAACGCGTCAGCCAGACCACCACAGCAAAGATAAGATAAGCAGGTTGATTGGTTACGACCAAAATTGCAGGTTCATCACCCTGTAGATAAAATGAATAAATCTCATAAATAATTAAACTGGTTATAAATAAGTAATTAGAAAGGAGCATCGAAAGCTTCCATACCTGGACAGTACTAAATGGAATCCTAAAATGCGCTGATTTCACCAGTATAAACTCGATTATATACTTTTATGTTGAAATTTAAAAAAATAATAATAATTGTAACCGAACAACCGCTGTAAGTTAAGTTTTTATTTTACATTTTGAAAAGAGAAAAAGTTTTAGTCGCGCAAACCTCAAATTAAACTGCTCTAAAATGAAAGGGATATTGCCAATTTTGTAATATTTCCTTTCCCGAGCAATTTTATTTCATTTTTATTATAAACGGAATTAAGATTTATTAAAAATTATAATGTTTTACTGGAGGAAAAATTAATTAAGGGATTTTATAAAATAACAAAATAAAAGGTTTTAATTCCATAATTTTATTTATTGGAGACAAGATTTTTTAAACAATATTAATACCGTGTATAATATCCTTTGTTAGCTAAAACTTCTGTGCACCTGTTAGGCGTACTGTTAATACGGTTGTCAATAATTGCATAAGGAATTTCACTCCATAGATATCCGAAAACTGAACAAAAAGCCTTCTCTACAAGGCATCCCACATGTGCTCAATGGGATTGAGGTCTGGAGACAATGGGGGAAGGGGCAGATGAGAAATTCCCAGATTTTCTAAAAATTGATGAACAACTCTGCCTCTATGAGGTCTGGTATTGTCATCCTTAAAGTAAAAATCCCTGCCAATGAGATCCCCGGTTTGAGAGATTTCTAGAGCATTGTAAGTATTCCCTAGCTCGGTAGAAAAGCTGACTGTGCAACGCATACCATATGTGCTTATTGGGATTGAGGTCTGGAGACAATGGGGGAAGGGGCAGATGAGAAATTCCCAGATTTTCTAAAAATTGATGAACAACTCTGCCTCTATGAGGTCTGGCATTGTCATCCATAAAGTAAAAATCCCTGCCAATGAGATCCCCGGTTGGAGAGATTTCTAGGGCATTGTAAGTATTCCCTAGCTCGGTAGAACAGCTGTCTGTGCAACGCATATCATATGTGCTTATTGGTATTGAGGTCTGGAGACAATGGCGGGAAGGGGCAGATATGAAATTTCCAGGATTCTAAACATTGATGAACAACTCGGCCTCTGTGAAGTTTGGCATTGTCATCCAGAAATCGAAAATCCCTGCCAGTGAGATATATTGAGGGATGTATTTATCGATAATTTCATGGACATAACGGGCTGCGGTGAGGTTGCCTTCAACAATATGGAATCCAGTTCGTCCTCCAGTGTAAATCCCAGCTCAGGCCACTACACCGCCTCCCGCAAACTGCACTGACGGGAACACGAATGGGGCATTGTACGCATTCCCATCTCGGTACTCTTCGGCGCCTGTTGTCACTATACAGACAGAAACGCGACTTATCAGTAAACATAACAGCATACAAAGGGGTGTTCGCTTCTAGGCGCACGCTGCACCGTATTCCCCTGAGTTGCTGGTGGCAGGCTGTTGCTGCGGGTCGTCCCAAAAGGGCATACGATGTGAGCTCAACTTCCAAACGATTACGAATCTTGTGTGGCGGGCACTATGGAAAGGGTTCCGTCCTGCAGCAATAACAATATTTCTGTCGTTCTTAGCGTCGTAAAGCACTGAGATTCACTACCAGGCCTCCTATGGCACTTCCGGTACCTCGGAATCGGACTAAAGCCCGGGAGACCACCCTCTGGCATACGCCAACTGCATCTGCGATATCCAATCGCCGGTGACCTCGATGACTCATTCTCACAATAATCTTGAGGACTTCTGGTTCCAGATGATGTCTTTCCATGGTTTAAGATAAAGAGAGTACAACTGGATTAAAATGGAGAAAAGGCGAAAAGAGGCGTTTGTTTAGAAACTGAGTTATCTTCATGTTAAGTACACTTAAGTAAATCCTTATTAAATATGAGGATTAACATGTGCTTGTTTTTAGTTTGTATTTTCTATTTTGTTTTATCCAATTAACAAGAATATATCGGTTAATTTAATTTAAAATAATATAATAAGAATAAAATACAAATATCCCTATTCTATTTTTGAGCAGTTTACAAACCCCGACAGGTCTTTTTATACCATATCGCTGTTATCTTCGATTGTTATAGTATTCTTTGCAACTGCTAAATAAAATGTCCTACTATAACTATCGAGGATGTCTATGTTCATTTAAAAAAACTAAATGCAAGCTGGAAGGCATTTTTTCCAAATCTAATTCTTGGAGTAAATAAAGAAGCCAAACTCCAATATATTGGAAAGAAGTGATAATAGGAAACTGTTATTGTCTGTAACATTTATGAAACAAACACTTTCGCGCTAATTGCATAGAAAGTGAAATCGTTTAAGTCAGTGTGTAAATTGATGATAATCACGTGGGAAAACGTTTTTCCCCTTTACTTTTTGAACCGGCCTGGTTATTCAAACGGCCCCTAATTGGCCGATGCATTGAAGAGGATTTTTTTTATTATATAAAGACAGATTATATCACGTCTTCAGTCCCTCTCTGCAAGTAAGTTCTGGCCGTGCTTAATTTTCGCAATGATAAAGCCCCCCGGGAGATTGCTACGGCTCAGATATGAAAAACCTTTTTAAATAACTCGGGCAAAAGGACAAAAAGAGGGGTGGAAATGTCTGAAGAGCCGGAAAAGTTTTAATTATTACCTAAGAGAACCATCCCCGTTTCGGGTAATTAGAGGATTTTCCGGCCGATTTCTCCGAAGTTTCTCCTTGCAAAAATCATCGCGTTATTTCTGTTAAAACAGAAATGGCTCAGGATAGACTTTCCAAATCCTTTTGATCGCAATATCTGATTGATCCATATCAATTTTAAATAATGTTAAATGCTATTAAAATTGTACAAATTAGGTGTACATGCAAATTTCCATGCGCTAGTGTGTTTAGGAATTCACAAGTTTGAGAATTAGTTTAGTTCTTGTTCGTGAATTATTCCTTATAGTTCGTGGTTCGATTGACCAAGTTACTTCTTTCAATTAATTATTCTTTTTATTTAAGGTCTTGGTTGAGATAAAAAGGCATTTATATCTCGGCCAATGCCTTACATAAAGATTAATTAATTGAAAAACGTTATTCGGTCAATCGGATCACGAACTATAATGAATTTAATATATAAAATGAAGAATATCTTCTCGAAAGCTCTCCGTGGTCATTTCATTTGTCGCCGAGAATCAAATAGATTACAAAATGGCAAAAAGGAGGGAAAATTCGAAAGGTGGGGTTGAGATTGGAAGTTAAGTGTCCGAGTGGATCGAATTAACGACAGCTGAAGTGGTAGAGCAGCGGCGAATTTAGCCGAGGATCGTGGGTTCAAATCCCGCTCTTGACACTGACTTTTATCTCGACCAATGCCTTATATAAAGATTAATTAATTTTGTGATTAATCATAAATAGTGGAAATATTTAAGTCAAAAATAAGCACAAACAGAGCGAACAGATTATAAAGTAAAAGTTCCATGTTGGATACCTTTTGATGGAATTGTATTTTGTCCTGCTTTTGATATATCTTTTCCTCAATTTAATAAGTTTCTTTTTATTATTAAGCATTATAACACGTGATAAGTAAACCAGAGCTTTACCGTAAATGAGTATACGAAATACCACAATTGTAACGTAAACAAGACAATTCCTCATTGAATCTCTTACAGCA